TTTAAAGCTTTTTTAATCACTATTATGGTAGAAAAAGGAAACGATTAAAATAGTTACCATAGTAGAAAATGTTCTACTCATTTCAAAGGAAATTCGTGATGGAAAAGAAACTATAAATGACTTAGAATGTCTATCATGGACATTTAAAACTCCTATTGATATTCATACAAATTAATATTTAGAAGAAGGAATAAACTTGCTTTTGAAAGTGTATATAAATGTAGGAATTTCCCATCACCGGAGGATGCAAAGCCATATTAGAAAGGGTTTAGCCCTAATAACATGGTATTGGTAATAAAAAATGAGGCATTGTTTACTACAATTAACACATTTTTAAATATCTCAAGATAGGCCTTTAAGCATCAAACTCAGGAATAGGAATTGCAAACCAAAGCCTACTCTGCAACCATGTTACTATATCAACATAATCAGCATGGATCTACAGATAAGTCATATGTATAAACTTAAAGCCGCTAGCCTACTATTAGCACTTCATTAGAAATTTAGAAATCCACATTACAAGTTTAATAAATATAACTCTAATCGACAGAGATTATGCAAAAGAAGGGACCCTATATAGCAATACACATCTTATCAACACATATAAAAGAAAGACGAAGGCAATACAAGAAGCTATAGAAGCTTAGGCTTTCATATTTTCCCCTAATGATACAACCCCAAAACTTCCACCTAAACACATTAATAACCATAAGGTGAGACATAAGCCTCAATAACCAACAGTCTAATTTATCATACATATTAATACGTGCTTGTGAGGTGTCAAATGGAATAGTTAAGAATTAGTAACAGTTCTTAAAATCATAAATCAATTCTTTGAATTTGTGGTTCGTAAATCAATGTCATTGCACAAATGTAATCTTATAACTACATTTTCTCACTATGGGGGAACAATCTCTCATTCTAGGAGAAAGAGCCAAAAGGAAGATCCCTCACTATTGGGGGTGTAAAGAAACCCTAAGACCTGTTCTTTACTCTACGAAATATAGGGAGCCAACCATTATGCATTAATGGAGACACTCATCATGTGATGGTAATAGATACAAATCACTCACCAATTCCTATCATATGCATCATGTTCAAGAATGCATTCAATCAATTTCCAATCACATAATCCATTTCCAAATCAAAACACATAGTGATAACATGATATCATGAACTCAAATGATTGCACTTTCAAAACCTAGTTCCACAAGACTTATTTAATTCCATTATAGCAACATAATTCCAAGTGTATGCTACATATTTCTTTTTCATAATTTTAAAGTAATAAAACTATTCACAAATAACATATTAGCATATATAATGTATGGAAAGTGGTTACCTCTCACCTAAGCAAAGATCAATTACCACAAATCAAGTTGTCTTGGGGATAACACCACCAATCACAAACAATCTACATAATCATATAATCATCACATATTAGTTAATAACTAATTAAGTGGTCAACAATAATAGCTTGGGACTTAAATTCCTAGCTTAACCCAAGTCTCATCTGAACTTTAACTTGATCACTTAAACATTCAACACACTATCCTAATAAGTCAAACAACTCTTAGGAATCCTCAGTTGCCTCTCAATAACAACAATGGATCAAAAGCCTCAATTTCTCAATTTATGGCTCATCATCAAAAATACCCAAGTCTGAAAATCAAAACAAATCAATGTTTTCAACCGATTAAATATCAATTCTAACTCTCAGTAACATAACCCACTCATCAAAACTCATTTTGAATAATCATATTATCATTAATTATCATAAACCTTCTAAAATCACAAACTCTAGCATTCAACTATCTGAAATCCTAAAAATCTAGAGAAAAGGGTAGAAATAAGGTTAAAAATACTTACTTTGATGTTTGGAAAATCAAATATACTCATAAGGACCAAAATCCATGAGCCTTAGTAGAGCTTCAATGTCCCATTGAAGAACGAACCGTTAGTTACTTTAGGTCTACTTCAAAAATTAACCAAATTGATATAGTACAGTGCATGATCCGGGTCGTATTCACTTTAGGGAGCCTTTAAAAATGTCCTAAGTAACTAAGTATGTAAAAGATAAAGAATTGACTTGGAAAGATATTGATTTTCTTTTTAACTAACTAATTGGAAAAATTTAAAAGGATGCAAAATGAGTAAGTAATTTTTGGATTTTTGGTTTATAAAATAGATATGGATGAGGTGTACTCTCCTTGATGAATGACTCGCTACTCTTCCTAGTCCACTAAAGATTGGTTCATTTGTACCTAACTAGACTAGCACCACTTAATTGACCCAAACAAGTGAATGCATAGACCTAGCTTGACTTTAAACCACAAGGATCAAGAACTAGGTAATTCACACTATTGATCCAACAACCTAGCAACCTAGCATTGTCATTGGATTTTCTCTACAATCTCAGTGTACCACTGACCCAACAAGTAAACAGAAATTGAGAATAATGTAGGCGTAATGTCAAATACCGCATTCAAGAACCAAGAGTCAAATGAATCACAATCACATAACATGTCATAATTCAAGAAACACAAATCTAAGGTAGGTATCAATCTCCTGATTATACATACCAATAATAATCTCCCCTAAACACATCAATTTAAGTCCTAGTACCATAGAAACTCAAATAAGCATATACAAGAGAGTGGAAACCGAAAATAGATACAAATGAACTTCCCTATCAGCTCAGGAACTTAGAGTAGCTTCGTCAGACATCAAAGAGTGGGGAGATCATGAACTCATGGCTGGAAGGTAGTTACATCGAGCTCCACGCCTTCTGTCAACCATCAAATTGCAACCTGGAAGTGAGGATGCGTCGGACATGGGGGAATGCAGAAGATGATCAATGGAAGTTGCTCGAGAAGAAGAAGAAGATGAAGGTGATAGACGCCGTCACATTCCTCTGGTCCTTCTTTCTTTCTTTTTCTTCTGCTGTCAAGCTCCTCAAGTATTGCTTGCGCCCCTCGTCTTGGTTACCTAAATGAAGATGATGATTAATGTGAATGTTTTAGGGTAGGAGCAAAACGCAACGATTTGCTCCCCCTTTTTTATTTATTTTATTTTATTTTATGATTTCTTCTTTTTTTATTTTTATTTTTAAATTCCTAAAAACCTGCAATCAAAATTTAAGAATAAGGTAGCATTAATTATCTTTAAAGATCAATCAATCACAATTATGACAAATTTTCCCCTATTATGCACTAATTCAAGTTAAAGCACTTTAATATGAATTATACTCAATTAATGCAATTAAGGACCAATAATAATGACAAAACCTACAAAAAAAATATAAAAATGCATGTAAAAACATGGGTTTGTCACCCACCCCCCAAATCATCTAAAAATCATGTCTAAAATTCATGATGCATTAACTGCAAATTCACCACGGCAAACCTACAATGAATGGCACTTAAGAAGTGCCCTTTTCACTCAAGCCATTCGCTGTGCTGTTCACTGCAACATACTCATGGCGAATGTTACACAACAACAAAAGATCTAACTTTAAAAATTCATAACTAATTTCACACACCTCTAAAAATAACAAATTAGGACTTTTTGGAAAGCTTGAGATGTTTATTTTCCAATTTAAGAGGAATCACTCAAAAATAAAATCATTTGATCCTACAAAATTCTTGATTTCCAAGGCTACCAAAAAATGTCTAGGTACATGACCTCTAATAATCGATCTTAGTGCTTCTACGCCTCAAAAATCTAAATTCAACTACCCAATATCTCAATTTTCTCAATAATCCCAGCTTAATTGATTCTAAACCTTGAGATTAAAAGCCTGGGATGTTACACCCTCCCAAACACTTAAATGGGGTTGTGAATTTCTTCATTGTTCTTGTAAATTGCCTAATTTGCATTATAAATTGCTTTATTTCAGTTGTTTATACAATCTTTAACATTTAATTTTTTTCCTCCATCGAACCTCAAATAGGATTGTAAATTTTCTTATTTGTCTTATAAATTACCTAATTTACATTATAAATTGTCTTATTCTAGTTGTTTATGTAGCCCTTGATACTTATTTTTTTTCCCTCCGTAGATCCTCGAACGACGTTGTGAATTCTCGTATATCTCTTGCAAATCACTTAATTTGTTTTTCCTCCGTAGAGCCTCAAATGGCTTGGGTGGCCCGGTGGTAACAATCCTTTTAGTATGTCAACTGTCAAGGAGTCATGGGTTTAAACCCCCATTGGCCACCTTATTGAAAAAACTTTCTTCAGTAGTTGGAGCTTTATCTGGCCAATCACTAGAAACAATATAAGGGCCACTACTAAAAATAAAACCTATTTTTACATTACCTTATTGACACTGGTCATTATACCAACAGTATAATAATTGAGGTGAGGACATTTTTTGTAAATAATGAAATAATTTTTACACAGGTTGAGTGCACATCCCATATAATATTAATTATTTATAGCGAATGTTTTGGAAATTGATTTAAATGTTGGTTTTAAACAGTGGTTATACTAAACAAATGGTGTAATTAATACGAAGATTAAAAACTGAAGAGATGAGCATATCTCTTTTGTTTTTCTTCTCTAGAGTAACGTGTCTGAAGTTCATAATCATAGGACGAGAAAGCCTGTCAAACTAGTAGTAGGAAGTGAAAGCTCATGCCACTTAAGAAGCTCCAAGGAGCCTTCAAGAGAGAACCTAAAGAGAGCACTTTTGTCCACAACTTGCTTCTCTTACCAATTATTAGTTAAAATTTATATTAAGATGAACTATTAATGCCCATAATTTAATATCCAATTTTGCCTTCGGCCTAAAAAAAGTATTTTTCTTTTAATAATAAAAAATTGGGCACAAAAAGAACTCATTGAGTAATAGCGCTTGGGACAAAAACGATGTCGTATGAGGATGGCAATAAACCCTATCTCGGTAATACACATATATAGGTTCTCCACGCAAGTGGGTGCGAGCGGCGTTTGGGGGCCTTGTTACGTAGTTACTCTCTTCCAGTCTCCACGCCCGCTGCAGCTCGCGAAAATGGTAAACCTGCTGAGATTATTTGAATACCACATCGCTATTCTTCTTTTTCAATTCCTGTGTTCTTCAAGTGTCAGAGATTATTAATCCTTCGTGTGAAATTTCAGTCTTGATGTGATCTGCTAGGGGTTGTGTGCGTGTATGTGTATATATGCTGGGTTGATTTGAGTCTAAGAAAGCAAAGAACTTCTTTTATGGATGGTCGTTTCTATTGTGGTTTCATTAGTGGTTGTTGTTGGTGTGTTACTTATATGGGGATCAATTAGTGTCTGTTCAATGCCATTGCTGGATCTTAACTAGTTGGAATGCCGACCCATCGAATTTCCATATGAATCTCCATTTGATGCTTCGGATTTGCCTTCTAACGTGAGGGACTTGCATTTGTCTCCAACTATAACATCTATTTTCATGTCTGTCAGTTGAAATCAAACCCGAAAGAGTATAGTAAAAAATGATAGCGTTATTGTTTTTGCACTAAGGTTTTCGTAAAATATTTGGGTAAATGTAATTTCTGTTGGCTTGCTTTTATGAAATCCTTGGTTTTTTGGGCTTTCTCTTGTTGGGTATGCCAATGTTTTGCTCATTTGTTTTCTCATCTTATGCAGACAAAGAGAACCAAGAAGGCTGGTATTGTTGGGAAATACGGTATGTCAGATTTCCTTTTGTTGTTTTGGTCTTGAATATTGAATTCTTTTATTTCAGTGAAAAGAGGTTATTAGCTATAGATGATGGAATGGAGTACATAGGAGAAAAAACATGTTTTAAATGGTAGTTAATATCCTTTAAGTTGCCACTTGAAGGATTAAATGAGATGTTAGAATGTTTGCACTTACTATGCAAAAGTCTAAATTGGAGCAGCTAACTTACTTCGTCAGGGACCCTATGTGTCTGTAATTGTGAATTCCATACCCACTAATGGTTAATGGTTAACGCGCTTATCTTAATTCATGATTAGGGATCAATAATTTCTAACTGTCAGTTGGTGCTAGTGGATTTTATAAGTTGGGGCAGTGTCGTTATTTTTTCTGGCATTTTATTCTTCCATTCTTCTGTATCAGTGAAAAACTTTGTCCAGTCTGATTATCTTATGAAGTTGATGGAACAGGTAATGGATAATTTTGGGAGATTGACTTTTTAGGAATTTTAACTTGCTAGCTGGATATTACGTATATACATTTTTATTCAGTGCGAAATGATTCAGTTATGAAATCTCATAGCAATTTTTTTCAGACATATTTCTTCTGTTGCCAATTCATCATTTTTGGCTTTTGGGTTCTTGATCTGGTTTTTGTCTGGTCTATGATCGGTATAGTTGTCTAGGTGGTTTTAATTTTTCTCCTCAATTTCAGGCACCCGGTATGGTGCTAGTCTCAGGAAGCAAATTAAGAAGATGGAAGTGAGTCAGCACAGCAAGTACTTCTGTGAGTTCTGTGGAAAGGTATTCTTTATACCTAAAATTATGGTATTTTTGATTTATTGGATGATGCAGACTCTAATAAATCTTCCCTCTTACAGTATGCTGTCAAGAGAAAGGCGGTTGGCATATGGGGCTGCAAAGATTGTGGGAAAGTGAAGGCAGGGGGTGCTTACACTCTGAAGTAAGAATTTTCTACCTTTGCCTGCATTTTCAGCAGCGTGTTTTCTTGGGATGGGCCAATCTTTTCAGAAAAAATTCTCTGAGTTTTCTGAACTTTATGTTATCTATAGATAATCTCCTTAAGTTTCGAAACTTTGTAATGAATGCCCCTAAACTGTTACATTTATGCATACAACTCCACTAGTAGTTTTGCTCATTACTTATTGCATACATCTTTTTATGTTTGGGGGGCTTATGCACACACAAAAATATAACTTAAAGCTTGATGGGGTTATATATACACACCAATGTAATTTAAGGGGTATATTATATAATTGAGGGTTGAGGTTTATCCATAGAGTTGAAAGTTTAGGCGGGTTTGTTATTAAGTTTTGAAAGATTGAAGTGTTATTTGTATATGGTTAGAAGTTTAGGGGAGTTTTGTGTAATTTGGCCTATGTTTTATGATAATTATTCTGTGTTTGATTCCTATCGATTTAAACATGTTCATTTCGACAGTACTGCAAGTGCTGTCACCGTCCGGAGCACCATTCGGAGGTTGAGAGAGCAAACTGAGGGTTGAAAATGAATGCAAGCATACATTTTTCAGGCATATTAAGTATTTTTGTAATCCTTGGAGCAGATACTTTGCTAAACTTTGAGGTTTGTTGTCAGGCATTTTGCCATATTAAGTTTATCACCAATTCTTGGTTAAGCTAACTGTGTTGGTGCTTAATTAATTACTAGCTGTTTCTGCTTCTGCTTATGCTTGAGAAGTTCTGCTGTTTAGTCGGCTCTCGGTTTATATGTCAATCTTGTATAACTACCACAGCTCAATTACCATGATAGAATGATATTTGACTTAAATACTTTAAAGTAAATGAAAAAAAAGGGACTACTCGCTAAGCGGCCGTTTGGATTGGAGATGATCAAGTGATTTTGAATTAATATGTTGAAATTGATTTTGATTAAAAAGTGAGCTTCGTAAGCTGATTTCTGCTGGGAATAAATTGAGATCCTAATGGCATATGAATGACATTCTTGATTTTTAAATATAACTTCATATCTACAGTTTTGAGTATCTTTCTATAATTATAGAATGGTTGTTTTTAAGGAAAAAATGGTATCTAATTGTTTCAAAGTGTTTTCCAACTTAATTTATTATTACATTGATATTGATCCACCTAAGTAGAAGTTGAGTAATCATATAAGATCGATTGGGTTGTCTAATTTGTAATATCTCAGGAGGATGATGGAGCTTCTATTTAAATAAACACTTGACGACCGCTTCTGAGTGTAGACGATTAACAATGTTAACCATGCAAATCGCAATATTCAAGTTTTTCCTACGTAACTTGAGAATTATTGGGCAATGGCAGGGGGGAAAAAAACAGAAAATTACTTGGGAAAAAAAAACAGAAAATTACTGGGTACTAGGGCAGTGTAGTGTCGTTTCAGACATTTTTTGCTTACAACTCCTGTGTGTTGTACCCCAAAAAAAAAAAAAAAAACTCTTGCGTGATGTGATTCAAAAAATGAAAAATAAGTCTCTTTCCAAAACAATAGGAAAAAAGCAATTAATTTAAAATTTTGTAAATTGTCTTGTATATATGAGTACAATGCCACCTAAAATTGTCTAATAATATTTTTTTAAATAAAAATTAATTTTATTCAACAAAGAAACAGTGCTCACATACAAGAGGCTTCCAGCCCAGCCCTTAACAGGAAGTGCAAGAAAGCCCAAGATTAAAACAGCAACATAAAGTTGGCCCCGGGGGGGAGGGGGGAAGCAACATGAAAATGAAGGGCGTATACTATTAATCCTTATAATTTTTAGGGAAAGTTACACTAAAAGACCTTAGAATATATAAAATTATAATTTGGGTTCTTAAATTCATAAAATTACCGCAAAAAACCAGAAATCGAGTCTTAAATATGAATTATGAAATGTTGAGAAAAAAAAACAAAAATACTCTTATCTTCTTTCTTTTATGCCCCATTTGGTATAATGAAAGAGTTTTTGATAGGAATGAAAATAAAAGTGGAAATAGAAATAGAAGTGGAAGTGGAAAAGGAAATGAGTTAATAGTGTATTTGGTATGTTCATGGAATTGATGTATTAATTTTATTCAATTTACATATTTATATTATGAAAAGCCTAAAGTAACGCTGAAATTTAGAGGGGAAAAACTCAACCCATCAAACGCCACTATTGCCAAAGTCCCCTAAGCTTTGCCGCCGTCAATGGCGGCCATTAACAACAGATTCAAGAACAAGGGGAAAAAAAAGAAAGAAAAGAAAGACAAGATCGCACAAAAAAGACCAAAGAAGCTTTATGAAGAGAAGAAGAGAAAAAGAAAAAGGAAAGGGAATGAGAGGATGAGAGGGAAGAAAGAGAAGAAAGGGGTATTTTAGTCTTTTTCTCAACATTTTATAATTGATATCTAGGATTTGGGCTTGACATCAATTTTACTAATTTAAGGATTTTTTTTTGGCGGTTTTCATAATTTTTTAATTTCATTTTAATTTTATGCTTTTTTTGTCATTTTAATTTTATGCTTGTAAACTTGAAATATACAAATAAATTCTTCTAACCTAGAAATTTTTAATCGGCATGTCTGTAACTTATTTACAAAGCTTTTATTTTCCATGTACTCGTAAAGTAGAACTTTTAAACTCAGGTAAAAGCATGTTAATAACTATGAATGAAGTCATGATTTGGTTATAATGGAGATTGTGATTAAGAAACATATATAGTAGATTTTTTTAATATTTTTTATAAAAAAAAATTAAAAATTAAAATTATATGGCCACACCTAATCCCCCATCTTCTACCATTATCAACCACCTAAGCTTTTAAGTAAAAAAGCATCTCATATTTGTCATTTAAAACAATGCCAAAATGAAATTATACAGACAAGATATTAGAAGTAACAATTTGAACTGGTCTATAAGTTTCTAGAAGCATAAAAATACAACAGATAAAATTTTAAAACAAAACATAAAGTGGTTGCGGCGATATATACAATGACATCCATTCATAATGCAATTTTTCAGCATCAGAAGAAAAATAATTTTTGATAGAATTCAATTCCTAATAATATTTTGGTCAAAAAATTTCTAATAATATCTCATTCACTCATTCTTTCATGCGGCCATTCTATTGAACAAGCAAATCCAATTCCAAGTAAAGAATATAAGCATTTCTTCACACTGGGATGGATGGGTCTCATGGTCTCCCACGTCTGTTAATGTTTCCATTGTGTGATTATTCCATATGGCCATGACTGTGTTTTTTTTTTCCCTTTTATTTTTTTTTGCTTAAAAAGTTTTCGTTAAAGAGCAATATCACTCTGAAAATGTTGAAAAAAAGGGAGCAATATCGTCCAAGTTTAATAGCATAACAAAGAAAAAAAAATTATATGAAAGACCATTGAAGATGCAAAACAAAAAGTATATGAAGCAGCAATATCCCTTTTCCTTTCAGCATTACTACAACGAGTTGTATTTGTCAAAGTCAAACTTGAATCTCCAACTTTTGCAATTCAATTCATCTAATAAAATTTTGTATCCAATTGTCGTGTCAAAACCTGCCATGAGTGGGTCGTTGCTATTACTTGCGGATTTCCCAAAGCTCAATGAACGTAGTCAGAGGTCTGCGGAGGAGACGGATTTGCTGCAGAGAAGTAAGGAAAAAGTTAGGAATACGGAAGATGATGCGGAAATGACTAAATCTGATGAATATACAAGATCTTTTAGCGATATGCTGAAAGGAACTGATTCGAGCAGTAAGGGAATGAAAGGAGGGTCGGGGTGACAGATGAGAAGCTACGAGAAGGAATTATAGTAATAGAGCATAAGAGAGGTAACATTTCAGTTCCGGAATTTTTGCTTTCCTGGGAGGTTATTGATCATATCTGTAGGCCTTTTGCGTTAAGTCTGAAAATGAAGTTATTAGGATGGAAGATCGGTCTGAGGAAGATGGAAGAGAGATTATAGAGAATGTGGGCTAAGGAAGGGGTAGTGAGTGTGGTAGAAATGACAAATGATTTTTTTGTGGTAACTTTTTCAAGTAGATCTGACTATAATAGGGCCTTGATTGGAGGTCCTTGGATGATTCAGGATCATTATTTGACTGTCAAGAAGTGGAAGAGAAGCTTTGATCCGACCTCTGAAGCCACTGAGGAAGCTATTGTTTGGGTTCGATTGACTGACTTTCCACTTGAAGCCTATGAAGAGATGATATTTACTGTGACAGGTGATAGAATTAGAAAAACAATGAAAGTTGATTTATCCACATCTCTTCTTGTGAGAGGGAGCTATGCAAGATTGGGAGTGCAGGTTAATCTAAAAGAGTCTCTATTGCCTAAGATAATATATGAGGGAAAGGAGTATGCAGTGGAATATGGAGGACTACATCTCCTATTTTTCTATTATGGGAGGTATGGGTACTTGGAGAGAGCATGCCAGTAGAAAGTGAAGGTTGATTGCGGTAGAGATGATGTGACTATGCAACAGGAAGGGGTTGAGCAAGGAAGGGAGAAAGGGGTAGTTTTTGGTGATTGGATGGCTATGAGGAAGGATAGAAGAGCTAGAAGAAATGGCTTTGGGATTGTGAATAGTGAGAGGAAGGTCTTTGGTTCTCGATTTGCTTCTCAAAATGTCGAAGAACCACATAATGCGATTGTTGTGGGTGAGAAACATGATTTTTTTAGTGTCTAAACTCAAAGACATGCATAGAAGTGGTATAGAAAGGAGTTTAAAAGAAGAGGAAGGAAGTGTGGGACTCCAGATATGGGACTTGGGAATAGATTGAAAGCAGAAAAAGAAAATGCAGAATTAACCTAGGACAATGAGAAGGGAGTGACAAGGGGAGTTAAAAGAATATCTCTAAAGAGAAATTAGGGGGGGGGATACAAGGGAACTCAAGTGATATTGTGGTGAATAATAATGAAGGAACTCTTTGTGTTAGGGAAGGAAGAGTGAAGCTGAAGGAGATTGTTAGTAATATTGATTATGGTGCTGCAAACCCTTCAAAAAAAGTAATATTACTAGAAGGAAGGACGAGTAGTAGACCTTCAGATGGCAGCATGAGAAGTGATCGAGGAGGATGTGGGGTTGGTTGAGTTGTCAGAGGGAAGGGAGAAGGCTGATATGGCCTTAGATTAATCTAGTTTCTAGGTGTTTATTTTTTTGTTTTTTGTGTTGTCGATGAATTAAAAACTATTTGTATGGAATTGCTAGGGTGCAGGAGGGAGAAGTTTAGGCAGAAGATTGAAGATGATGGTTAAGGAGAAACAACCAGAAGTGGTTATGCTTCTTGAAACCAGAGTTCAAAATCATAGAGCTACTGACCTTTTTCGGAAAATGGGTTTTAAGGAGGTACTGGTGATTCAGGTGAAGGTTTCTCTGGTGGTATTTGGATAGCTTGGCATGTAGAAAATGTTAAGTTAGTAGTAAAGGAGCTGGATAAACAGCATGGGCATTTTAATATATGCTTTGGAGATGAGAAAGTATGGGCAATTACCTTTGCTTCTGTCAGTCCTAATGAAAGAAGTAAATAATATTGTTGGGAAAAGATGAGTATTATTGCAGAAAATGAAGAAAGGCCATGGCTCTTAATAGGTGACCTCAATGATATAAGGGGAGAGGAAGAGAAGATGGGAGGTGCACCAGTCAACCAAAATAGATGTGATAAGTTTGTGGAATGAATAGATAAGTACAGCGTGATAGATGTACAGACTTATAGAAATAGATTTACGTGGAAGGGGCCGTTGGTACTTGGTTATGAGAGAGTCTTTGAGAGACTTGATAGAGGTTTATGTAATTCACAATGGAGGATGCAATTTTAGGAGGCAGAAATTCTGATTTTACTAAGATTGGCCTGTTCTGATCATCATCCTATGCTACTAAAGTTGAAAGGGGGAAGAAGGATAGGAGGGATGAGGCCTTTTAGATTTGAAGCTGCTTGATTATTACATGAGAATTTTGTGCCATTATTAAAGGAGAATTGGAGGAATGAGGGAGATATTAATGAGAATTTGGAGATGCTGACAGGAAAATTAAAGGAGTGGAATCGAGATGTCTTTCAAAATATACAGATGCATAAGAGAAGCTTGTTGAATAGATTAGATGGTATTCAAAAGAAGTTAAGTTTGAGAGGCAGGGATCAAGCATACCTTTCTAAGCTTGAATTAAAACTGTAGAAGGAATTGGATGAAGTTTTGAAGCACGAGGAGGTGTTATGGTACTAGAAATTGCAGGGGGAGTGGATACATGATGATGGAAATACAAAATTCTATCATCTGAGAACCATTACTAGAAGAAGAAGAAACAAGGTGGAGGAAGATGGTAGTTGGATAGAGGATCCAAAAAGGATGAAGGTTATGGCATAGGAGTATTTTCAGAATTTATTTCGAGCAAAAAAATGTAGTGATGAGGATGTTAGTTCTGTTACTTGTACAGTAAGCACTTTTTCGGAATTGGAAATTTCAGAAGTGAGGAGTCTATCGAATCCTTTAACTAGAGAGGAAATAAGGGATGCCACGTTTAATATTGGCACCTTCAAAGCCCCTGGAGTAGATGGATATCTGGTAGTCTTTTTTTAGAAACAATAGGAAGTGGTTGGTAGTGAAGTATGCAGTTTTGTTGAGAAATTATGGTAGGGGGAGAAGGATATAAGGGATGTGAATAGAACTTTACTTGTTCTAATTCCAAAAGTTGATAGACCTGAACATTTGAAGCAAATGAGGCATATTATGTTGTGCAATGTCATTCATAAATGCATCCCTAAGATAATTGTTAAGAGGATGAAGAGGTTAATGAGCAAGATTGTGGCCCCTAATCAAGTAAGTTTTGTGCAAGGGAGGCATATTCAAGACAATATAATAATTGCCCAAGAGCTTATTCATACTATAAGAAATTTGAGAGGAAGAAGAGGTTGGTTTGCTATCAAAATTGATTTAGGGAAAGCCTATGATTGTTTGTGCTAAAGGTTTTTGTTAGAGATCTTTTGAGAGAGGTAGGTTTTGATGATAAAACCAGGGACCTGATTGCTAGATGTATTGAAACAGTGTCTATGCAATTCCTGTGGAATAGAGATAAAATGATTCCTTTTAGCCTAAGAGAGGAATAAAACAAGGTGATCCTCTATCTCCTTATATTTTTGTCCTAGGGATGGAAAAATTGACACTTATTATTCATGATGTTAGGAGGGAAGGGAATTAGAAAACTTTGGAGGTAGGGAGGGAAGGAACTGAAATATCCCACTTAATGTTTGTAGATGATTTGATTATTTTTAGTGAGGCAGCTGATATGCAGATGGAATGCACTCTACAATGCTTAAAGAAGTTTTGTAAGCTGTTTGGGCAGACAGTGAATTTTGAAAAATCTGCCATTATGTTTTCTAGAACTGTGAATGAGAATATGAGAAGCCATTTGACAAAGAAGGTAGGAATTCAAATTGCAGAAGACTTGGGGAAATATTTAGGGCTACCAGTGTTTTACAGTAATTCAAAAAATAGGAAATTTGGTTTTATCTTGGAAAAAGTGAAGAGGAGGCTAAGTGGTTGGAAGATGCAACACCATAGCATGGCAGGATGGATTACTTTGGCCAAATCTGTAATTGGAGCTATTCCAATTTATCCTATGATCATGATTGAATTGCCAAAAATCTTAATTGAAGAAATTGAGAAGATTCAATGTAGTTTTATTTGGGGGGGAATGAAGTGGGAGAAAGGAAGATACACCTAGTTAGCTGGGATCAAATTTGACGAATGAGAGCCTTTGGGGGTCTAGGAATTTTAAACTTAAAAGAGATGAATATAGCCTGTTTATTGAAGCTGGCTTGGAGATTGAAGACATAAGGGGATAGCTTATGGAGGAATGTTTTGATACACAAATAAAATGGAGGTAGTGAGCTCTCTTGAATCCTAAAAATTCAACCTTCTTCGTTTAGCTTATGGAAGGATTTGGGGAAGGTATGGATTTTGCTTTTTGACAATTTGTGTAAAGGGGTGGTTTATGGCACTGGTACAAGCTTTTGGAAGGATAATGGCTGGATAATGACATGGTGATTGAGAGTCATTGTATTGCTGATTTAGCAACTGTGGAGGAATGGAGAGTTTTTGATGTAGCTATTGAAGAAGGATAGTGGAATATTGATATGATCAAAGGAGTTATTTCAAATGAAATTTTACGGCTAAAGCCCCTCCTCTAATGGGAAGAGGGAGTGATAAGATCCTATGGTGGGGAAGTCAAAGTGGAGATTTTTCCGTTAAGCGTGCCTATAAGCTTTTATGTCAAAGAAGTTAGGGGATAAAAAATATTTTTTGGAGTATTATTTGGAAGTGGAAGGGACCAAGGCGCATGTGTTCATTTTTATGGTTGGCTACTAATGAGAGGCTGAAAACTAATGTGATTTGTGGTAGAGTGTTGGGAGTGGAGGGGTTATGTAATATTTGTCAAGAAAGGGAAACTGTGCTTCATGTTTTAAGAGAATGTACAGAGGTGAGAAGGATTTGGGAAGATGTTGGGATAGGGATCAATGATGATTCCTTACAGTCCACAACAGAATTGCTGTTGTGATATTTGTGTATGTGTGTCAAAGAAAAGGCATCACATTAAGTGATAATATGGGAGTTAAAATGAGCACATTCTTAATAAGGATTTTGTGAAAATTCAAATATTATTTTAAAATGAAAGAGCATATCAAAATAATATTTATTGTCAGCATTAGTGAAGAAAAACTGAATATTGAATCATCATCAATAGTTTTAATGCTTCAAAGTTGGTTTCGAATTCTAATCCAATTATTCTAATCATCCCAAAGCATTAAAGCTGAATGGTTTCTTTTAGCCTTAATATCAACAGTTTTCTCATAGCCTTAATGTCCTGAAGGTTTCAAATATCTAAACGGTCAAATCATAAATGTTTTAACGTATCATGGCAACCCATCATACTTCCATCATTTGGATAATATAATCATCAATTCAAATATTTGATTTGAATTCATTGAAAAAACTGACCATTGAATGCTCTATGTCATTATGAGTGCCAACGTTCATTTTATTTGGAGCCTATATAAGGGGCTTTAGCCAAGGTACAAAAGACACACAACTCTAGAGTTTTCTAGCTCTCTCTTCCCTTTCTTATGTGCTCTCTTATTTGTTGAGTTTACTACTATCTTCTGCTGTTCTGCTCATCCTGTTTTACAGCAAGGATCCGTTTAATCCTGGGGAGTGCCGCATCCTTATCTACTGGTGCTTGCGGAATAGCTCTTAAGGATAGCATCCTTAGGACGTGACTCAGATGAACTATTTGTTCTACAGGTGCTGCCGCCAATAATCCTAAGAGCTATTCACATCATGGAACAACCCCGCAATACTGCTGCTTAGAATGAACATGATGCTGCCTCAGTAATTGTTGTTCTGACAGCAGTTCCTATTCCTAGGCCGTTCCTTGACACTTTAAAA